TATAGCTTATATATTTAAAAAATTCAGTAGTCATGTAGTTTCCCACAGATGCTGACTACATTCCATTGGTATTATTGAATGTATTCCTTTAGTTCCTTGAGTTTCCTGTAATTTGTAGTTATAGCTAGAGAATTGGACAAATTTGAATTTGTTCTCAAATTCAATTTTGGTTTGGGGGGGAAGGCTAGGTTTTAGGTGATAATACATTCTTCTGTAATGTATGTATCAAAAGATACATGATAACCAGTTTCTCTTATTTTTGGTGTTATCAGCTCTGTCACTTAGCTTTTACCACAATAATATGCAATAACAAACTAGCCCCAAACACATAATCATGTATCTGTCCATACATCTGCGATTTAACTGTAGCTAGCCTGATCCATAAATTCAACTGGAATTATATCTAAGCTATGGATGGTTTGTTCCGTCTGCCTTTCTCCCACTCCAGGCAGTATACCCAGGGCATGTAATTCTTATGGTGGTGCCAGAAATATAAAAGAGGCAAGTGAAAACATAAGGTTCCTCTCAGGTTTGTATGAATTTCATTGGCTAAAGTAATTCACATGATTAAGCCCAACATTAATGAAGCTGGGTGAATTACTAAGTCATATGGCAAAGGGCATGAGTCAGAGAAAGTAAAGAATTCAAATACGTTTTTTTCCAGCAGCCATTAATAATTATTACCTAGATCATTTACATTACATATTAAAAAATGGTGATATTTTCATTATCTGGTGTACTTTTATAAACAGAAGTCTCTCATAAGCTATTTATTTATATACCATGTATAATTTGGATAGGAAGGACAGGATATATGCTTTTTTCCCTTTATTTACCAGTTATCAAAAGAATAAGGTAGTCCCTTCCAAAGGTTGTTCAACTATCTAAATTGTCTTGAGGTTTATTTTTAATATCCTTGGGAACTTTGGTCTTTAACATATTATATGTAATTAAATTCATTAGTTATTGTTATTATTGAGACTTAAATTGTCTTACTTTAAACCAATTGTAGCCTGAGTCCTTTTGATATTAGACACCACTAATTTTTTTTAATAAAGAGGTTTTTTTTATTTAATTATTACAAAAGTTTATTTTTACATCATTTTGCACATTTTTTTTTTCATCTCGATTGTAATCCCCCCGGATTTCCCATCACCAAATCACCCGTGTGCCACCACCATAGTCCTGTGCATTTCCCTCCCTCCCCCCCCCCCCCCACCTTGATCCCATTCCCCACACCACCCCAACAAAATGTCTCTAAGTATATGGTTGTTCATTATTTTTGTTATTTTCTCGCCTGGTCCATTATACTCCTGCTATGAGTGAAACCATCTGGTATTTTTCTTTCTCTTTCTGGCTTATCTCACTAAGCATGATCTTTTCCAGCTCCATCCAAGTTGCTGCAAAAGACATGTGTTTCTCTTTTTTGGTTGCTGAGTAATATTCCATTGTATATATGTACCACATCTTTTTTATCCAGTCATCTACTTTTGGGCATTTGGGCTGCTTCCATGTTTTTCCAATTGTAAATAAAGCAGCAATAAACATGGAGGTACGAGTATCTTTTTCAATCAGTGCTTTTGAGACACCACTAATATTTTTAATTTGAAATCAGCTGTTTCTCCAAGGAGCCTTGGTTTGTTTTTTTGTTTTTGTTTTTTTTTTTAAGATTTACTTATTTGTGCATACAGAATTGGGGTACAGGCCAGAGGCTCAGGGGCGGCGAGAGGCTTCACGAGAGACAGAGTGGGCAGCAGAACAGGCAGATCTACGAAGTACACTGCTGAGGGGAGCAGCAGGTGGGTCAGGAGAGGTCTGCCACGCCATGTGGTCACCTCCGGGGCAGGCAGGAGTCGAACTCATGCTGCAGTGGCTCTAGCTTCTTAGTGCTGTGCTTTAACACCCTGCGCCACCAGGGAGGGCCTGTTTTGTTTTATTTTTTAAGATATATCTTATTTATGCAAATAACAGCTGAGGTGTAGGCCAGAGGTACAATGTTGCATGGGGGGGGGTGGGAGTCAGTGGGAAGTAAAACAGGCAGATATACTGAAATACACTGCAGAGGGGAACGGTGGGCAAGACAGGAAAGGTCTGCTGTGCCATGTGGGTCAGCTCCCTGGCAGGAGATCAAACTGGTATTGCAGTGGCTGCCAATAGCTTGATAATGCTGATATTTAACCCCTTGCACCACCAGGGAGGCCCCTGTTTTTCATGAGAAATTGTATTTAGCCACTACAGTCTGGACACAGAGTGTTCATGCCGTTGTATTACCTATTTCTAAGAGTTCAGTGTTCAGAGCTAGGACATTTTTTGCTTTAGCTTTTGTTTTTTAAGGATGAAATTGATAATAATGAGCCTCATTCTAGTGGTTCATTTCAAATTCAGGATGTCAAGTTTCCTTGTTTTTATAACAGCTTTATAGAGATATAATTAACATACTGTACTATTTATCACAAGATGAATAACTTAATATAGTCACAGAATATTAATAACATTAATATTAATAATGTGAGCAAGAAGTTAATCCTTTCAGACTTCCAGTTCTCACACTGCGGGAAAGATAAAATAAGCAAGAACCTGGAACAGGCAGGCAGTGAGCATTACAGATGGGCACAAGGGCCATGCTTAGAAGAGTCAGGAATGCCTGCCCTAAGCATGCCGGCTGCAAGTGGCCCCTGGGCACCTGCAGTGCGCGGTATGTGATGACCACTGCTAGGCTACTCCTTCAAGTAAGGACAACTTCCTGGACAGCTGTATTTTTCCCTTCAGCACATTTCCCATTGCACTGCACACAGGTGATCTCTCCCTGCTTATTGGACAAGGAGGGAGGCTTTGACTTTACTTTCCATTTGTTCATTCCAGTTTTCATATGAAACTTCAGAACCCATTCACTGTATCCTCGACTGAAAAAAAAAGCACAAGACGACTGGGAGCACCACCTTCTTCTGGGTCCCATAGTGAAATTGTGTTTTTGGTTTTGTTTTCACAATTTTCTATTCTTAGCCATTTTTTCTAGACTCTGTAGCTATCTCCCTCCAGTTTTGACTTACTCAATCACACAAACAGTCCTGTTCTAGAGGTTCTAGGCCATGAGTTATGTATGGGTTAATGAGTTTATTAGCTCTCCCATTATCTGGTAATATCTAATTTCTGCTGACTGGTTGGGACAAGAAGGGCATTGATTTTGTCCCTTGACCATAGTAGAATGACTTTTTTTCTTTATCTGGTAGACCATCTGCTTGCTCTCTACGTACTAGACCTTGTTTCCTTTCCATGAAATATCATGACATGGGCTCTCTCTGGTGGCACAGCAGGTTAAAGTGTAGCATTGTAAGTTAGCTGCATCTGCTTCAGCGTGAGTTCAATCCCCGCCTGCCCTGGAGGTGACCCACATGGCACAGCAGACCTCTCCTGACCCGTCCGAGCTCCCCTTAGAAGAGTACTTTGTTGATCTACCTATTCTGCTCCCCACTTTGTCTCTGGTGAATCTTCTCACTTCCCCTGTACCTCCGTCCTATACCCCAGTTCTGTACAGATAAATAATTTTTTTTTAAATCATGACATTTTACTTGTTTTGAGCAAATATTTGTGTGAAATATCCTCTTCCCTCAAAAAATGAGGATCCAGGCCTCCATTGTGGTGCAGGGGTTAAGGACACTGCATTATCAAGGTTTCCCAAGCCACTGTAGCATTAGGTTCCATTCCAGCCAAGGAGGTAACCCACACGGGCCCTATCTTTCTACTCTTGATAGTATTATTTGATACAGAGATGTTTTCAGTGAAGTATACAGTTTACTTTTTATTACTTTTCCTTTTGGTGTCATATCCAAGAAGTCATTGCCAAATGTAGTTTATCAATCTTATTTTTTTCTGAGAGTTTTACATTGTTTTAAAAAATTATTTATGCATACAGGAACTGGGGTGTGTGTAGGCCAGAGGTGCAGGGCGTGAGAGGATTCACCAGAGACAGAGTGGGGAGCAGAACAGGCAGATCCACTGAAATACTCTGCTGAGGGGAGCAGTCAGGGGGAGGTGCCATGTGGTCACCTCCAGGGCGGTGATCTTACACATGCTGAAGTGGCTTTAGCTTCTTAGTGCTGCAATTTAACTAAACTGCTGCACCACCAGGGAGGGCCTGGTTTTTTGTTGTTGTTGTTTGTTTTTTGTTTCTTAAGATTTGTTTATTTATGCATACAGAACTGGGGTACAGGCCAGAGATACAGGATGGGCAAGTGAGAGGATTCACCAGAGACAAAGTGGGGAGCCAAACAGGCAAATGTAGTGAAATACAGTGCTGAGGGGAGCAGAAAGTGGGTCAGGAGAGGTCTGCCAACCATGTGGGTCACCTCCCTGGCAGAGAATCAAACTGGTGCTATACTGGCAGCGATAGCTTATTGTGCTGTGCTGCACTTTAACCCATTGCGACACCAGCGAGGACCCTGTTTTGAAGTTTTATTCATAAATGAATGCTTTCTTTCATTTTACTTGTGTTTAGAAACATTTTATCTTGTTTCCTAAGACATGAAATACATAGTTCCAAAGTCAAATGTAAGTTTTGTATATAAAAAAGGAACACCCAGAGATTAGTATCTATTTCTATTTCATACCATCCTGAACTCCTACTCAGAATACATCCTTTTTTTTTTTTTTTTAAATATAAGAACCCAGGTTCACCTCATTTTAGATTAATGGTAAATGTATATGCTTTTCTATATCTTGCTTTATTTTTTCCCACTGAATTGTTATATCCTAAAGATCACCCCTTTGTTTTTTATGTAGAATAGTGGTTAGTCATTAAACTACCTTTTTTTTTTTTTTTTTTTTTAGTTTTTTTTATTGATGGACCCAGGGGAGATCCACACATTGCAGCTTTATATAGTCCATGTTTCCCGTATCTCTTGCCTTTTTACTGTTTTAAATGGGCTGGTTATGGTTTCCTATAACCTAGATTTTACTGATTACATCCTTGTGG